GTATACAGCCGAGCCAAAATGTTAGTAAAATGGAGTTTAGGGGTGACAGAAATAACTGATTATAGAACTTTTTTTCTTTCACATGACTTTTTCTTAACCATTGTTTTTCTTTCTGAACCTATATATAGTATTCACACAACTTTTTTTTACTCTTTTCCCTTCAATATAGCTTATGTATTAACATGGGCCTGGAAACTTCTCCTTATTGGAGGCCTTAACCCCCATTGGAAGGGGACTCTTTAAAAATTTTAGAGTAAAATTAACCCAACTAATCTTTGATATTACAAAAATTAGTGTTCCTTTTGTTTTTAGAGTTTCTTTTTGTCATCAGAATGGTGGTACTTTGAAGGCTAAAGTGTGGACCTAGGAGAATAAGGCCAAGGGAGTTCTTTAGTCCCCCTTAGTTGATGCCTTAGGATGCATGTATGGCTCATCTCATCTTATCACAACAGAACATAAGTGACTTGAGCTTAAAGCCCTGTATTAATAAATCTGTGGTGTTCACCTGAAGGATTATCTCTGGTTTCTTTCCTCAGTGACCTGAAACAGCAGTGTTTGTCGGTTCCTCAAGGACTTGGGGATTTCCTAATCCTTGTTATCTGTGACTTTTATTATCAGAAACATGACCATTATCTAATACAGTCGAAAGGATTGCCTTAATAGTTGGACAATAACAACTTGTGTGTCACAATTACCGTCTTTTTTTCCAGGGGACTGGTGAGCAAATACATGTGGAAACAACATATATAACTTTGAAATGACAGCAATGTCCCCAAACAGTGAGCAGTGTCGCTCACAAGATGTCTTTCCTTGAAAGCTATGTGTCTAGCTCATTCTGGCCTTTGAAAGCAGTAACACTGGTTTAAGGATCAAGATAAGGATATGGGCCTGGATTGTTACTCCTCATTTCCATGCAGAAAGAAGCCCTTAGAAGCTAGTTAGAGAATTTTAGGTTTAGGAATGCAAATTTAATGTTTCTCAGCACAATAAAGCCTTACGTGCTTTAAAGATTATAGGTTATCTCCAACTCATTTTCAATGAGTGTGATTAAAGATGTAAGGGAAAAGCAGCAGCCTAGTGTACCAGTTTAAGTTCATATGTCTCCCTTTTTACACACACTTCCATTGCTATAGTGGAGCCACAATGCTCCCCCATTGCTGCTAAGGCTGAAAATGCCAAAATTCATGCTTGGGCACCCACACATGCTTTACCCTAAAGCACAGGGAAGTTAGTATTCCACAGGGAAGGTATTTGACTAATAAGATGGGAGATAGGAGGTGAATTCTTCTCTCTTCCTCACCTAGATGGGCTGAGATACAGTATGGCCTATCATAAGAGGTTGAGAAATTAGCTTGTCATGAAACAGATTGCTCTCCTTTCCTCCTGACCTCTTTTCCTTGCTTCTACTTCCTTGGGATTTCACGTAAGCTTTTGCTTCAAGCTCTATTTTCTAAGAAACTCAGATCAGGGCACCCAGAAATTAGGAAGTCTGGAATTAAGTCATAATTTCACCCAAATTTACAACCATGTGACTTTATGCAGGTTACTTTCTTTCTTTTTGCATCTTCTCTTCTAGCTATAAAATCCTGATATTGGAGTAGAACTTCTTTAAGGGTCTTTCCAACTCTGAAATAATGCCAAGGTACATAATGTCTGTGTGAAGCAGGTGATTTGAAAAGGTGGTATACTGACCAATGGACATCAGTGGATTACTTACATGTGAATCAGGAGAATGCACTAAATATATTCAGTGAGCTTGAATGTTAACAGCTCCAACCAATCTCAAGTTCCAAACATAGATTTAGTTATACTTTCTGCAGAAAGGAATTGAATTAATTTCCTGGGTCTTTAAAGAGAAGGCCAAATAAACTTTTACCCTCTTGAGCAAAGTAAAAATACTTCCCTACTGGCTCCATATCATAAGCTTATTGAGAAATGGTAACTGGCTGCAAACCAAAGATGTTTTCAAAGATGGAAGTGGAGATCTGTAATGGCTCCATCTTGGGAAGCAAAATAGCTAATATTTTGCTGTAACTATTAGTCTGTAACTATTGTTTCACTCCTAACATAGGAGCATGTGTGTTTCAACTCTTAGGGTGCAGATGGGCTGAAGTTAGGGAAAGAACCATTCACCATTTGAGGTTTATTATACCACAAAGGTTTATACTATGCTCCAAACTTCTATACCTGCCTCTGGAGCATTGACTGTGGAGTCAGACAGCCTAGGTTCACATCTTGGTTTCAGCATTTACAAGCTTTGTTACCTTTGGCAAGTCATTTAACCCCTCTGTACTTCAGTTTCTCATTTGTAAAATAACAGTAATAATACTACATACATTGTAGAGTTGTCTTGAGGATTAAATGAGCTAAATAGGCAATGTGCTTGAAATAGTGCTTAGCACAGAGTAAGCACTATGCAAGTGTTCACTATATTTATTAGAGCTATTGTGATGATGAAAGATGGGCTAGAACAAAAAAAAAAGGCTCTTGGCTAAAGACATGTGAAATGTATCAAGGGACCAATATGTGGAAAGCAGTAGATTTAGGGGATAATAGATGATTTAACTGCAAAAAAATGCTAAGCAGGAAACACCCTCTAAATATTCCTGTTTATACAGTACATGACACAAAGTATAAAAATAATGAAAACAGAGCCTCTCTGTAGGATTTAGAGTTCTTTCATATATATTTTAAATATACATGTGCAATACATTAAAATATATAGAGATGTGTGAATATATATTTACATATGTATATGTAAATATATATATATACATATATGTATATATGTGTATATATATATATCTCCGAAGGGCTACATATGCACACTCACTCACATGTCTGTGTGCATACCCCAACAGGACCCATCTATACGTAAACCAGATGCAGTCCATATCAGGCCAACTTGGACGCAAATGAAAGCCCTAATTCAGCAGACTGCAGATTGCAACTACATTTGAGTAATCCTCCAGTTCCTTCTACCAAGTGTAAGGCCATTTAGAAATACACTGAGAAGAGCACCTCTGGGTATATGGCAGAGCCCAGGGCCCCTCTGGCAGCGCTTAATTTGCCTGAGTAAGGACTGCAGGATTGAGATATCAAGGAGCTAGCTATCAAGGAGGAGGGACTTGTGTTATGTTGGGCCCTGAAACTAATAAGCAAACATCAATAGAATAACTTTAGCTCCAAGAACAAAGCACTAGTGTCATAGAATCCTTATATATCTCAGCTTTAAGCAAATTTCAGGCAGAAGCAAAGAGAAGTGTGTGTTGCTATTCATCAACATCCAGTGTGACCCAGAGAACTGGGCCCAGCTTCTGGGGGTGGATAAGTTCAAAGGCCAATCGGGCAGACTTGGAAGATAAAAAGAAGTTACTTAAAATGGAAGGACTTGAAAGCAACATAAGAGGTTACAGGTATTGGTTTGGGTTTATAAATGTTTCAAGAAGCCAAACCTTGTATATGGCACCATTGCAGCAATATTAACATTATTAATAATCATCAATAACATATTTATATATACAAAAATAGAGCAAAGCAATTCTATAAGAGGAGGTGAAAGTGAAGGTGAGGGTCTCTGCAGCTCAAATGTCAGTACACTTCAGGAAGATTCAGAACCAACAAAGACTGAGTGGCACGCATTTCTACAGTATACAGCAAGAAGGGGACATCAAAGAGTTCCCTTTTCCTTCCCCCTGTGTAGGACTATACATTTCTCCCCACCTTTCCACGCTGTAATACGTATCCATGCACACTTTAAAAGAGATGATGATATAGAGAGTCTGGAAGTCTTAAACTAAGTTGGAGCACCTTGGTTTCAAGCAAGTGCCCTTCATCTTTGAATTCCTTAGTGAATTTTGGATTCACTAACAGAGGGAAACTGTTATCTAATTCTTGTCTTTTAACAGCAGTCCTTAGGAGCCTGCCATCACCACTGCAGCCTTTTCCCATTGAAGGCGAATCACAGCACAGGCTCTTAGTATTTTTTTTTTTTACAGAAGTCAGTTCTCTGCATTATACATCTTTCATCTCGGTTTTCCACTGTTGCTGAAATTTAGGTTCTCAGGCAACTGCCATTGCAGACAAAGCCAACAGCAAACACAGTGTGTGCAGCAAAGGGTAGGTGCAATGGTGAAGAAGCTTAGTTAGGGCTTCCTTAAGCTTTCTTTTCCACACTTGAGCTTCTATAAGATGACAGAACCAAAGGTGATGCCCACTGGGGGAAGCCTTGACACTTGAAAGGGAGTTAGCTACCCACTATGCCCCGCATAAAGACCACCACCCTAGGTTGGCATGATTCCTGAAGATTGAGTGGGTATGGTTTTCTGTCATTGTTAACAGAGTCTTAGGAGAAATTTTCCATGACTTAATGTGGTGTAGTGTAGAGAATATTGAACCAGGAGCCAGAAGGCCTGTATTCCAGACCCAACTCTATGAACTCTGTGTGTGACCTCGGGCAAATCTCTTACTATTTCTAGGCCTCAGTTTTTCCATCTGTAAAATAAGGGCATTGAACTAGATTAACAGTTAAGATTCCTCCCAGCTCTAAAGTTTTATGACTTTTTATGTCCAATATTAAGGCCTGAGCCATGCAGTCTCAGGGCAGTTAGCTTCTAAGAGAGAACAGACCTCTGTAATATCCTTTGCTTTGTTCATTTAGCTATAAAGCACGTCTGCCTTTGGCACTTGGGTCAGACATACAAAGTTATGAGCATCCTGGTTTACTATCCTACTCAGCATGCTAGTGGAATCTGTCAGTACTCTAAGGTGATTATTGGGAAAGGGAGTAAAACTTGAACTCATTAAACCTGGAAATAGAAGTTAAGTTTGCCTCATATGCTCATAAACTGGTGAGTGTGGTTATGAGTGCACACACACTATTGCTAGTGATCAGTTCATTACAGTAATCAATTTCACTTAATAAAAATTAGTAAATAGTATAACAGCAAAGTTTGGCGTCAAAGGAAACACCAATGGAAAAAACAGCACTTCTTGATGTGTTAGAGAAACGGGCAGGAGGAGACATAAATCTGATGGAACACAATAGAAATACCTGCAGAGAAAGGGTTAGTCAGAGAGAGAAGGGAGGAAGGAGAAGGTAGGGAGAGAGAAAAAAACAGAGAGAGAGAGGAAAATTCAAAGAAGGAGTACAAAACAGAGTTAACACAAGCGGAGGAAATGAGAGAAAAAAGACAAACAAGAGGGGCAGTAAACAGGGAGAAGGGGTCAGATTCCCTGGAATATTGAACACTGTTCCACATGGACCTGTGAAAACCATCTAACAGGAAAGCTTCCAAAGGCACTGTGGAAAGCAGAGTGATGCTCAGAGCCTGCATCGAGAGGTATCATGTTGGGGAGCCCCTAAACCTCCAGGTTGCTGGCTCTGTCAGCCCTCAGTGTCCAAATCTCATGCTTCTACATCACCTGAATTGGCCACGACAGCCATAAAGGCTGAGATGGTAGGGTATAAAAAGATTGAAGTGGAGCGGGATAGATACTGTGAGAAAGAACAAGGCGTCCTGCGCCAGGATGTACTTGACCATTCCCCTGACACTGCAGGAACGAAACTGGTGAGCCCTAATTTTGGCTACTTTCCTCCTCCTCCCCTTCTTCAAAGATGAGGCCTATGCTTTACTGATGGGGGCTAGGAGAAAGCTCCGGATCCCTTTGGTAGGAAGGTCATACAGACTTTTCCTGGGTCTTGGGGAAGGGTGCACTACCAGAAGAGATTTTTCTGCACACAGTGTTGGTGTGCCTCTTACAACGGCAGCCTGGTCGCCTGAGACTATCATAGCCCCGCTGGCACAGATGGAGGCATCCACGGGTAGGCAGGTAGCAGCACAGGCAGGGTAAGAAGAGGGAGATGAGGCTCATGGCTGCCCAGCGGACGAGGCAAGAGCCAGGCCCACAGGAGCAGGGCTCATCGGCGCAGTTGTCTTCATCGTCAGTGGAACAGTGGTAGAAGAGGCCCTTAACACAGCAGAGACAAGTGCCATAATCTAAGAGGCTCTCAGCAGAGCAAAGGCAACGCTGGTTGCATAGCCAGCAAGCGGGGAGAGGGCGAGCCGCTGTACAGAGGACACACTTGCAGCGCCCACACTCCTCACAGATGAAGAGGTGCTCACTGGGGTGCATGGCAGATTGCTCAGCTTCTCCCTTCAGAGCACCATCAGCCTTTGGGTGGGCTCCTGTTCCAGGCTGGGTTCGGATGATGGACTGGCCTGAAGGTGAGGGCGTAATGCTGGCCAAGAGCCTTTGATCAGAGGCAGTGGTACTATGGGACATTGAGCTGGCAGTGCTAGACTGGCTCAAATGCTGAGGCAAGGGCTGCAACTGATGGCACTGGCTGAGACTGCGGGGCAGAGCAGTGGGCATGGTAGCCAGGGACCAATCAGATTTGTGGGTTTGCACAATAAGGGAAGGGCTGGAGAGGGCCTGTTTACAGGGAACTGGAGGACGGTCCACATAATCATTGCTAGCATGAGTAGAGCGCAGCTGTTCAATAGGCAGAATTTGTTGGAAATCATCTGTCACTGCAGCATCCATTTTGCCTTGATTCTTGAGTTCTGAGTGGTTTTGGGTCAGGGTGGCACTTATGGTGATAAAGAGCCCTTGTAGTTACATGGGTCTTAGGGCACATCAGAAAATCCTAGGAGAGAAAGAATAAAAACAATAAATAAAAACACACAGGCATGAGTACCTTGCAGGAAACCAACAAAGCTCAGGCCCCTATCCCCAGCACTACCTTAAATCACTTTAGTCTTCATGATTCTGTAATTGACCTCATCTATTTTTTACAGGCATGTCTGGTCTTCTCATCCAGACTATAAAGCACATTGGGAGCAAAGATCTGATTGTGGATTCCTTTTGTATTTCATCATATGACTAGGGTCATAGGAGCAGTTAGCTCATTCAGATGTTTCCTAACTGGTAAATCTAGGCCTTGAGCATCAAAATTCTAATAAAGCTATCAAATGCAAAGGTCACATTTTGAGATTTTACAGAAAAACGCAAATGGATTTTTTGGCCAACCCAATATATATACATCAAAGCTTTCTTTTCAGTGAAATTTATAAGCATAAATAAACAAATGATAAAGGACACTGTTTGACGCAATGAATACAGGCAAACAAGCAAGATGCAATAATATTAATAGCAGAGATATGGCAAAGACACAGAGGGCAGAAATTAGACTATCTATAGAATAGCAGGGAAAAGGTCTTCCTAAGAATATAAAAAAATCCAAGACTAATCATCTTGCAGTTCTCCTCACTTCATAAGCTGCTTTAATTTATTGAGGAGGTAATTCTTTCAAATGGCGGCATGACTCCAGAATCAAACTTTTGTACACACAGGAGTAACCCTGGTAATGGGGAACCTTAAAAGAAGAGATCTGAATTAATTCAAATATCACCTGTAATTATACTTATTATGACCCTAATTCAAGTCTATACTGATGGGATTTATTAGGTAGAATCTGCTTGGACTGCTTTTCTCTATCTTTACCTTATATAATAAACTGGCTTTCCTAAAGAACAGCAATGCTTTTATACAAAATTTAACCTAAGCTGAATATCTGGAAAATATATTCTCTCCTGATTCGATCGAGCCTCGTACTGATAATGATGATCACGAGGAAAATACTGTTCCAACAGTAGATTATTGTTTTGCACCATCTGGAAGACTGAACACCCTAAAAAGGAAACCTAAACAAAAATCTAAGACTCATCTTGGAGGCATTAGGACCTAGGAAACACTAGCATGAATAAAGTATATATTTGAAATCCATCAGATTTCAGGCCTCCTCAAAATAGATTGATTACTCACACTACTGTATGGGATGGAAAGCTTGAATGAGTAATAGAAAGGAACAAGTGACAGAGGATAGTGCTTGATTAGGTTTCCATAAGCAAGCAAGCATGACACTGAAATGTGCCCAAAGCTCAATGGCAAGGGAAAAAAAAGATGTAGTTCATATAGGACTCAGTGGCTAATAATACAATTGGACTCATTGCCTTTTGAGGTTATATCCCAAAACAAACCTATTTAGTTGAATTTTCATCTGTTCATTTTTTAGAAAGAAGATTTAGTTTGGTTAAAAATAACTTTTCTGCCACATCACATCAAAAAACCAGTCTGACTATAATTTCACTTTTTAGCTGCTTGTTTCAGTGTTACTCAATACAGCACAAGAAAATGCAGATAAACATTATGGAGATTCTAAGACTCAAACATGCAACCTTTGTCAAATCACTTACTTCTTTTGGGCCTCAGTTCCACTATCTATATAATTATAGGGGTGGCCTAGGTGATTTTGAAGGACTCTGACCCACTATGGTCTGTAATTATTTAACTATACAATTTGACAAAAGAATTCTCTTCATACCTTCTAAATCTTCAGCCCTTGAGGGTAAACTGGGCAACATGCCCTTGTTTACCCGGGCATTCAAAAGCAAAATGGGTTGGACTCACAGCCCCCCTGAAGTCTTACACCTCTACCTTTGCTGTACCTTTGTTAAGACTCACAGTTCCAGCATTAGAAAGGAACAGATAGTTTTCATTTGAACACCCAAATAAACAAAGACACACTGTTCAGCCAGTTTACAGGGTGTGTGGATGTAAGTGTCTAGGGTTGGGAAGAGTCTTTTGACAACTATATAAGAAATAAATGTATTCCCTATTGATGAGATAAATAATGTGTGGGGCCCTTCAAGCCCTTTACACTGTATAAAAACAATACATACGCTGGATGCATTTTAGACTCACTGATTTCCCAAAGGAAACTAGATTTGAACATACTGGAAATTCCAAGGATCAATAACTCAAAGGAAAGCATTCAAGGTCTTAACATTACAGGAGATAATCATATGGGATTCCAAGGATGTTACTAGATATCTCAGAGATTTGCCCAGAAGGTTGAAAGGTAAGCTTGGAGGAATTCAGGTCATAATAGAAATGACTCAGAACCATGAGGGGATTCTATCTTGGCAGCAAAAGGGTATACGGTGTTTAGGTTAAGAGAGTATATTTGGATATTGGTTAGACTGCTGCAAGACTGGAGAGTTCAGATACTTGGTTGGGTGATTAAAGGAAGCTTTGGGCATCAGTCTGGGATGATGAACTACTACTGTCTTGCTTCCAGATCAGAGGATTGATGAGATGAACTAAGAAGGTTTCTTCCTGCTCTATAAAATCTTTCTGAGAATGAAGAATGGAAGATCTGCAATATGGTGGGCAGTAGGACCTGGGTAAAATCAGGATATTGAGGAGGATAAACCAGTATTGAATGACAATAAATTGTTTGCCATTCCGGATGTGCTGAATCCGATCTGGCTAACAGGATGAACTGAAATAGATACTGGAGGGGAAGGTAAGTGGGGGCGGGATGGGGTGGAGAAACAAATAGACAGGAGGTCTGTGCAGCCCACAGATTAGATGAAAAACTACTACTACTGCCTGCATGTTTAGGATTCAGAAACCCACTCATTAAAGGGCCATTCATTGTGAGCAGCAACAGTGAAGCAACGGACTGTGCTGCGGGTCAATTCCATATTCTATGAAGTGAGAGAGAGAATATACATATCACATATTATTAACTAGGAGCCAAGGTGATTACAAGTCTTGGCTGCACATGGATGGGATCTAGTGATTTCTGTCACGTAGTGCCTCTGCAGTAATGAATGATGCATTGTAAACCCACTCCCATCTCGGTCCCTCTGGCCAGGTGCTCATAGCTTTCTCAACAGTGTTTCTGTAGCCCTGAAATTTGCTATGTTCAACCTAAACAGAAATGTCTTTTCTTATGCGAACTTGGGGACTCAAAAGCTAAATCCATTCAAGAAATGCTGTTTGTTAATGAAAGAAAAAATGTATTTTCTCCCTGGAACCGAACAGCTGCCATGTTGAGACTTAAGTTGCAAACTTTCCTAGCTAAAGCCCTTCTATGCTAACCCTCTTAAGAGGCTTTTGATTTGGGTGATAAATCCTTTCTGATATGGTATGACTCAAGCTTGATTTCAAGGAAGAAGGGAGAAGAGAAGGCTGGCTCCTGTTTTCTCCTGTTCCTATGGGTTCAATGCTGTTTTGTACCTTGCTGTGTAACGGCTCTGGGGTGTGTTGCTTTTTTTTTTTTTTTTTCCTGTGCTCTGCTGTTATATACACTCGTTCTCAGAATAACCAAAAGCAAACATAAGGGGGATTTCTGCTATGGCTTTCTGTGTTTTCTTAGTTCTACTGTTCCAAAGTCTGCTCTCTCAAAATCCCTCTCTGTGCAAAAGCATTTGCATCTCTATCAAAGCACTCCCCCCTGACAAATACCAAGTTGTATATAGTTTAC